ACTCAAGACAAACGCTTCCACTTCCAGGTCTAAAATTAGCTCCGGTGATTAAAGGAGTGTCGGAATCAGATTGACAGTGGCAGAAAGAAAGAAATCCTTTACAGACAGGAAGTAGCACAAAACCTATTTTTACCAAAAGTGCTCTTTTTTTCCTTTTTTTCTTTTTTACATCCCAGCATTCTTTTATCCCAACTAATGATAGGACAAAAACAGAACGGTGCATTCACACTCAAAAATAAAAAAATAAAAGAAAAGAAAAAACACAGACCTGATTTCGGGAGCAATTTAATCACCTGTATCATTTGTCTGTCTGGAATTACTTGTCTGTTTTAACAGCGTTCACAGTAATAATAGTGAAACGCTGACAGCACTCATTACGGCAACTCGCTTAGCTATCTTGCAGCATTTTAAAGGTATTCGTTTTAAATCTCTCGTTTTTATTTTTTTATTTTTTGGTTACTGTCTCTACATCCAAATCTGTCCAGGAGATGTGGCTTTTATCTGTGGTATCGCTTACAAAGTAAATCCATTTTAAGAGATACCATCTCGGCTGAGCAGATTCACTGAACTAACATTTGATTGTTGATCAAGAGGACACAAAGCTTTTAATTCACCTCCTGCACAGATTTGTTTTTTTTTTCCCCCTAGGTAGTTTTCTGCTCCTTTATTCACAAACCTTTCCACCCTTGTGTTTGAAACAAAATGCTTTGAGTCATTCGGATGATGCCCTAAATTCTTTGATCTACATTATTCTTGAGTTTTTATTGTCTTTTTTTTAAAGCTCCTTATTTTATTTTATTTTTTGCCGGAGTCTCAACTCTCCACACCGCGTCCACTTATCTAAAAATGATTCAGTGGTTAAATGTCAGAGCTGTCGGTGCCATTAAGGCCAGCACGTTTGAAGGAAAGAGGCCCTCCCCTCCTTCATCTTCTGTCTCTTCTTATTCCTCCCCCTGCTTCGCTTCCACATCTCAGCCCGGGCTGGTTTGAGGGCTGATGTGCAGACCTTGTCATTCAGATTAAGGCCACATTGTCAGCTCAGGGCTCTTCTCTCTTTAGTTTGCGTGTCCCGGATCTTTCTTCCCACTGTCAGCCCCCCCACCCGTCCCGCGGCCAGAGAAGACCTTATAAAGCTACATTCCTTCTCATCCACTTCTGTCAATTCCAGCGCTGTCACTCAAATCAGTGAAGAGAGGAGAGGAAGTTACTCACAGCAAGGTCTGCGCTTTTCTTATTCAAGCTCGGGTGACATGTCATCGAGTCAAAACTGTTTTCATTTGAATGTTAGATTTGCGTTTTTATTTTTTGTGTTACATCCGAACGAAATCCAGACGATGCAAAATGTGACGCAGCAGAAGGATGCGATGGGTGAAGGAGAACGGAGGCTGCGAACTCTTCCTCTTCGGAGATAACGCTCATCACGGGTCCCGCTTTGTAGTAGTAAAGGCAGTCGCGTTGTTATTTTTAAATCGTTTTTTTTTTACGTGTCGACCTGAGTGTTTGTCAGGAGGTGACACATCCACCAGATAATCTTAGTCACTCCTTATCCTGCTCTGGAAACGCGTCCCAGCACGGTGTTTATCATCCGACCACATCTTGACTCACCGCCGCGGTCGCCGTCACGTCACATCTAATTACTAGAGCAGCTCTGTGGCATTTAATTTTCATGCTCCTCACTAACTGCTTGGCTTTTTTTCATTCTCTCTCTCTCTACCTCCCTCCCTCCCTCTTTCTTTTGCTCTCTCTAAATGAGCAATGATTCAGCACTGTGAAGGATGGTGGACAGTTTCTTTCTTGGTATTAGTGCGAGAAGAGAGAGAGAGAGAAAGAAAAAAACACATATTTCAGTTTGAAGACACAGAAGCACGTCATAATGAAACAACAAACAGATCAGAGTGAGTCTGCAGTTTCGCACCCRGTGCCTTCCTCGTCCTCCACCCATGCGTGGAGCCTCTGCTTCTCTAGAGGCCGAGCAGCCGTGCTTCAACACAGCACCCTGCTGCCGGCTGCGGCCTCGGCCCAGGTGTCGGCTTTACCAAACTCCACAATGAGTCAGGAGTTTCAAGATGATTTTCTTGGTTTAACTGTTACTTGAAGCAGAGTAAAAATGTGTTCCCATACACTCATCAGTGGCGTAATAACGATGTCACGGAAGTGAAGTGTATTAACAACCCTGCGCAGTGTTGCTAAGAAGTAAAGCAGAGGTGAGTCAAGCTGTGCTTTATTTAATAGAATGCGCTTTTTTACGTTTGATAAATTCATTTCTGAAAAAAAAATCCTTATCTGAATTTCTCAAAAAGTTTTTTTTATTTTGTGATAGCAATCTTGTTTTTATCTTCGGTCAAATCTCTCTGATATATCATTGCAGACTCATTTTCATTTCATTTTATATCTCAGTAGCTATCTGATGAGCACTAATTGGAAAAAAAAAAGATTTCATAAAACCTTGTCAGTGCCCTTCGCAAGAATGAATAAAATGCAGTGTTTGAGCGTTAGAAGTTTGTGCGCCAACGACGGAGCAGACTGTCGTCCTCGGTCACCATCAGGTCTTTTCTTGCCCCGGTGAACATTCAACGCTGTCGGTGAGTTTGAGCTAAATTAAAATAAACCATCGACCGTTGATTGTACCCCGTGGCCAGCCTTTGTCACTTCGCGTCTCACGGGGAGGAGAAGGAAGCTCAAGATGTTCCRAAACCTGGAAGCAAACATGACTAATGACTTCTTGAAATAAAAAAAAAAGGAAATAAATTACCCATAGAGCACCTCCTTGAGAAACATCCAAAGTGCTTGCGGCTTCAGAATCACAGCAAAGGTCACAATCAACATTCATTGCTGTCGGTGGGTTTAACTGTGTGGAAGAGCTCGCTGAACGATGAATGCAACTGTGTCCCAGATTTCAGCCGAACATCATGAGGAATGTTGTCACGACATGCTGATGGTGTTGTTTCACTCGCACCACGTCTCTCCTCCTCGCCTGAACTCAGCAACGTCCTCATGGTTGGTGCAAAGTGACATCTTGGCAGTTTGATTAGAAGAGCGAGGTTAGACATGAATTGTGAATTCTGCTTAGAATACATGTATGTGGACATTGTTCAGTGATGACTCACTTTCTTTTATTTGGTTATTATTAACATGTCTGATGTGTTTTCTGCTTTGCTGTTGTTTTTGATGCACCTAAATCAAATCCAATAAAAGAACGCTCTCAGCTCTATGTTGTTGGTCTTTCATGTTCCTGGCAAATTTTTGTTGCCATTTAAAATTAATGAGGTTGGGTGTAACACGGTCAAAACAGTTTGGMTTTAACATTATAAGAAGCTATCTGCAATACATTTCTGCCACTGATCAAAGCACTAGACACTAGGGTTGGGCATAATCGTATTGTGTGCAATTAATCGTCAGAAAAACATTAATCGATTATTTTTTGGCACTTGACGATTAATACRATTAATGCCACCATCAGTCTGCTCGATGCTCCTCTCCACTTCAAATATGACAAACATTTTAAAAAAGGGTTCTGTAATTTATTTATCCATCAACACAATTTAAAAAATTGATGTATAGTCTGAAGTCTGTAATTTTGACACAATTTGGAACAGATTTTAACGAATCTTTCCCACTAAATTGGTCATGAGACCAGGACATAAGGGTGTCCATGGACTCCAGGGGATTAATCGTCAAATTAAATACCACAATTAATCGTGATTATTTTTTTTTGCCAGTATTGCCCAACCCTACTAGACACCACTATCAATGTACAACAAATAGTCAAATGTCTTAATCAGAAAATAAAATCAGTCTAATCCAAAATGTGTTCAATCCAAATCTCTATTTTAGTCCATGCACTTATAGTTGCAATTACCAAAACCATTTGGCTTAAAAAAATTATTTCAAATACATTTTTTTGCTAAATTCCATATAATTGTAACTTCTGCACAAATACTGTTTTAACAGTTTGTTCTGTTGGGAGGCTGAAGGATATAAATGCTTAAATCATGGGGTTCAAGATACCTTTTAACTTGTTTGTCTAAATTTAAATGTATTTTTTTAAACCTGGAGCGAGTGGTTAAACAGACACTAAGTAAAATAATAGTTTACACATTTTCATCTGTTTACAATACAATTCAAATATGCCTTTATAGTTTTGAACTTAGGCCTACTTCAAATTATTCCTTAGTTKGACTTTCAGAACAGAAACATGTCTTGGTTTCACACAGATTCTCACAGGACATTTAGCAAAAATAACCCTTGTTTTTTAGATAATTTTGTTCCACTCAAAATGAACTAAAAGAAAATAAAAGGCTTGSTAATATAGTCTCCAACATACAAATATCAGTAAATTAATAAAATGAGCATTAAAAATTTTCTTTTATATCAGGACTTAGTGCTTTTTAAAGTTTAAATMTGGGGTTACATTTGTTTTACATGCATGTCCTCAACTTTCAATGGCTCTAATAGCACTACAGTACACAAGCATTTCTCAATAATTTCCTACTTTTGTACAAAAGGCCAGCAGATTTAGACAAATTCTTTGCCAGGTCAAAAAAAGGTCACCACCTGGATTTAAGCTAATAGATAAGAGCCTCCCATTGGATAATTACTGCTTCAGCTGACAAGTTATTGAACCTTAACTGACAGAGAGTAGCTCCATACAGAAAGACACATCCTGAGGTTGTGGAAAATTTGTTCCAGAAAGGGTCGAATTATTTGGCATCAGAAAACATGTTGAAACTAAAATCAGGTTAAAAACTAGGGACGGCATATTTGAAGAAGGAATGTGGTCAAAAAGATTAAAAATTCAGATGTCCATCCATCCATTTTCTGTACACGCTTCTTCCTTTTCAGGGTTGCGTGGGTCACTGGTGCCCATATCCAGCAGTCACAGTGCGAGGGGCGGGGTACACCCTGGACAGGTCACAAGTCCATCACAGGGCCACACATAGAGACAAACGAGACAAACAACCATTCACTCTCTCACTCACACCTAGGGACAATTTAGAGTTATCAWTTAACCTAACAGTCATGTTTTTGGTCTGTGGGAGGAAGCCGGAGTACCCGGAGAGAACCCATGCATGCACGGAGAGAACATGCAAACTCTACCCAGAAAGGTCCCCAGACCGGGATTTCAGATGTAAAATGTATAATTTATCCCATATAAGTTTAAATAAAACCATGTGTGTGTGTGTGTAACATGTCTGTATTTGGCTTGTTCCGTATCCAACTTCACTCAAGTGACTTTAAGCCTTTCTCTGCACCACCCAACCAGGAAAGTACCTTCTTAGTATTTTGAAAAACTGAAAGCATCTGATTCAGAATGAAAACCACTGCTTGACCATCAACAACAAAGGATTTGATTTGTCTTCTCACACCACAGGGCTCACGACTGTAATTTAGGGCTTTCGAAATAAATCCACAATCTAATATACATCTTAGAGCTCTGCCCATTTTTAAAAGTTTTATCTGATAAGCCTGAAATGAATAAATAGAAAAGCAGCTACTCAGATGAGATATGCAAACCATCTATCAGATGTTTGAATCATTCAGGTCACTGAGCTTCAGCACTGACAGCAGACTCAGACAAGACGTGGCTACAGATGATGAAGCCTGTGAGGAACTGCTGTCTAATCATTACCAAGAAACTGCAGATGAAACGAAGTGAGTCACTTTAACAGTAAAAGATTGATCTTCTTAACAGTTACCAAGAAAAACTTAATTGTGTGCAAGTTTCATTTCCAGTTTTGCATGTCATTGAAGTTTGTCAAAAATTCAAACCATTTTTTTGTTTGATTTTACTTTTGTTAGTGTAAAAATAAAATGTGGGCTCTACAAAATGCACATGCAATTAAATTAAAAAGAACACACTGAAATTAACTGCTATGAGTGATAACAATGGGGGGAAACACTACAGTAAAAAAGAAAGATTAGTATATCAGAATGGTTTTTGTTGTTGAATAAACTTAATGTCTTTCTTTGTCCACTAGAGGGAGACCAATGAATAAGACACAAAGGACTGATAACTCAGCAGTTCGTAGTTTAATGCCTTCTACATTATCTTTGCTTTTTACATAAAAAATGGACAAGTAAACACAATTAACAGTATCTAAAATAAACATTTAAAATCTGAACTAAAATAAAATAAACAGTAAGTTTCGCTGTCAATGACAAGATCAATCAGTTAGGAAAAAAATCTAATTACAACGAGGAGCTTTATTTTTACAACTATTACCAGTGTTTTAATTAAAAACGTCACTTTTAAGACTTTTTTTTTCAATTCACATCAAAATAAAATTTAAAGCTCATAAAACCTGGGCATTTAAATGTAAAAAATTCTTTTGTGTTTTGCTAAAATACAAAGTTTGTGTTCGTCCATAATAATGCTGTTTGTGTGATAAAGGGAAAGTTGTGCAACTTCCAGACAACTCATCAATTGTAATTCCCCGTGGAGATAATGAGCAGTTTGGATGCTCCCTGCTCAGGTCACTGATGTGTAGTAAATGAAATGACAAAATTATGGAGATTATGACACCAAATAGCAGCTGTAACTCCAGAGATACAGCAGGCAATCTAAACACCACACACACTAGAATACGACATGGGGAAAAAAATAAAATAAAACACAGAAACTTGTTTGGTCACAAAACTGGAAAATCTGCTGAACTAGTACACCCAAGGTCAAATATTCTGCTTTGAATTATTAGACTTCAACCTGTAAAAACACACAGGCTACTTTGGGCGGCTGTGGCGGAGTGGTTAGGGGAGTCGTCCTGGAACAGGAAGGTCACCAGTTCGATCCCCCGTCCAACTGTCTCAGTTGTATCCTTGGGCAAGACACTTAACCCCTAATGCCTCTGATGTGTGTCCCCATCAGTGTATGGAATGGAAAATGGTAAATGGACTGTCCTTATATAGTGCCTTTCTATCTTCACACTACCGACGTTCACCCACGCACACACACATTCACACACTGATGATGGTAAACTACAATTGTAGCCACAGCTGYCCTGGGGCACACTAACAGAAGCAAGGCTGCCATACTCACGCGCCACCGGACCCTCTGACCACCCTCAGTAGGCAAGGTGGGTAAGGTGTCTTGCCCAAGGACACAACTGAGTCRACTGGACGAGGATTGAACCGGCGACCTTCCGGTTCCAGGACGATGGATTTATTTTTCATTTTGATTAACTTTTTAACGGTTATAGAATTGTTTATTCTTTTATCGTAACTTTTGGACAAAAGATCTAAACAAAACCACAATGATATTTTGCTTTCAAGTGCTATATTTCATCCCTGATGTTACATGTCCTGTGTTCTACATTCCATGTGGTGTAAAGCAATTCATCATTAACAAAAAACAAGATGATGATTTTTGAGAAAAACATGAGACGTCAAATTTAGACCAAAAAAATAGTAATTTTTTGTGCTTTAGAGCAGTGGTATTTGCCCTTTCAGTGTTGGGTTGTGCAGCCGTTGGACGATTTCCTACTGCCTGATGTCCGCTGGTCTGAGCTGCCTCTCCCCCTCAGCCAGGAAGATCTGCATGGCCCGATATAACAAGTGGATGCCGAGCTCCCGTTTCCTCCTCATCTCCCAGTTGGACGCCACACCATAGAAATCTCCACGCTTCTGATTGGTGAGCATCTTTAACCCTGGAATAATTAGCGGAAATAAGAAGTCAAATCATTTCTAAAGTTGCTTTTTTTTTCATTAAAGCCAAATTTGAGATGAATATACTATATTAACTCTGCCCTATACTCACCAATGGCCTCCACCATGCAGGCCTCTCTGGTGTAAGCTTCCACTGGAATAACATTCTGGAAACAATGCAGAGAGATGACCCCCTGCCCGGCGGTCCACACCTGGAGGATGTGCTGCACTTTTGGGCACAGTTTCTGTCACAGGGAGAAAAATAATCCAAGTTTTATACAGATGTTGTTTTAAAATCAGTGCATGTTTCGTTCTTTGGTTTTCCTGTTTCAAAATAAAATGGCAAAAAAGTAAAACCGTGTAGTTTTCTTTTCTTTTTTTTAATTATTATTATTAAAGCATGTAAAACAAAGAAACAAAATAAAAGCATTTTTTTCTTATTTTATTTTGAAATGGAAAACACCAGAACGTTCTATATGTAAATTTTTGTAACTGCACAAGTTACAATTTTCTGCTTTCTCACCTTTGCCATCTTGTCTCCTCTGTAGTATTCTAAAGCCTCGTAAAGGTGACTATAGGGCCGAGAGCGTTTTCCTTTGCCCACATAAAATATAGCATGAATGAAACACTGGAAACACTCGTGAGGACTCATGGTGTGGCTACGGAAGGGGAGGTTTTTTGTCACTCTGACAAAGGAAGAAAAAAATAAAACAATTTTGAAAAATACATGTGTGTGATTAAAAAAAGTTACATTGTAATGATTTGTAAAGGAGAGTTTAAAGCATATTTTTAGTAGATACTACTTTGCTCAAAATCTCATCCTTTTTCTGTGACAGCGGTATGTACATTGTGCGGGACATAGAAAACATGGGCCATCCAACATGGAGTACCTTGGGTCAAGCAGTAGGTAGTTGAAGCTGGACTTGATAATGCCCTCCCTCCACTTCCTGTTCTGATCAGGTTGGTCAAACTGCTGGCTCAAAGCCTGCTCATCAGCCTGGCAATTAGGCAGCTGGAAAGCCTGCAGGGCTCGACACAGTTCCAGACTATAACCTAAGTTAACTACAATAAAAAATAATAATAATAATAAAATAAAAAAGAACAGACCACAAATGCTCATTTTGTATCCATATCAGTAAATATAAGTAATATCACCAATGTAATGTTACTTTACTTATACATTTATAATACTAGAATTTAAACCCTAAAAATCATCCATAAAGTTGGGGGGTAGTAGTAGTATTATACACAGGTTATTGATGATTCGATTTTTTATTCTTTTAAAGCTCAAAAAATTATGATGGTATTATACTTGAGATAGTATTATACATGAATAAATACGCTAATTTACAATTCAAAAAAATAAATCTCACTCAAATTCAATGATTGAATCTACTATGAAATCTTTGTGTTTCAATTTACTTACTGCAAATTAAGAACAATAAACACCTATTTATTTATTTATTTATTTAAGTGAAGTTAATTAATTGGCATTACCTGTTTGTGGTTTGTCTAGTTGTGTCTTGTCTTGATGTGTTTTGGCGTTTGATTCTTGTAAAAGGCGGCACAACCGTCTCATGTAGGTGGGCCTGGTTCGGCTGCTGATGGGACCTGGACTCTCTCCCAGCTCCACAAGCCTCAGTCGCAACTCCCTGTCAGTTATTCCTCTTATTTCCGGCAACAGATTGTTGTCGGAATTACCRTTGTCCATTTTCGTTGCCACCTTCTCAGATTGCTGGTTCTCTTTATTTTTGTTTCTCTTCATTTCGGCTTGCATGGAACGCCAGTCATAGAGAACGGTCTCTTCGGTGCTGGTGCTGCTCGAGCTCAGGGACGTGTCTGTTGTAGGTGGGACGTGCGTCTCAATAAGTTTGTGGCCCTGTTCCGTGTCAGTGTAAAGGTACTCCACCGGTTCGTCCAGATTTAGGGTGAGCGGGCGCCCACCAGGGGTGAAAGACAAGTCTGCCAAACGCTGGGGCCTATGGCTGGCCGACAGCCTGCTCATGCTGTACCTCGGAGTGCATCCTGTTCCTGGAGTACAAGGAAGATCAGAGTTCTCTCTGGATCTCTTTGGAGAGAAAAGACTGGAAGACGACGAAGACGAYGCAGACTCAGACTGAGAACTGCTGTCCTCGGTGAAGAGGACATCTTCGTTTTTGAGTCCATCTTCCAGTTCTTTAGCAGAGGCATYGTTCAAGTTTCCCATAGCCGCCTCGTCTGCACTAGTCAGATCATCAGTTAGAAATKCCTTGTCTTCAGAACGATCCATGCCCTGTCCTCGCACAGCAAGAACAATCTCTGCAAAGTTTTTCTCATAAGCATCTAATGGATTATCTTGATCCTTGTCTAGTAAGACAGTGTCATCCAAAGTCTGCGTTTGGTCAACAGTGTCYGTTACGCTCTTAGTAAGAATGAGCGTATCAGCTTGGCTATGACTAAAMGTGCTGGACTGGGTGTCTCGGTTATCCGAAGACAAGGAGTTTCCTTCGTCATCTCTTCTCAAATCATCTGACGTATAGGCAGGTGTGCGTGGTGAGTAGTACCCGTGTCCACTGCTCTGGGACTTRGGTGTCGGACGGAGTGTTCGAACCGGCGTCGGCAGAGTTTCGTCAAAAAAAGAAGAGGTGACTGATACCTGTGGAGTTCTCATGGAGCAGCGACTCAATCTAGAGCGCGTCCTGCCAGTTACAAAAGGACTGGGTGTCAAAAAGAGCCTATCGTTTTTTTCTAACGCTTCAGTTGCATCAAATTTGACATTAGATTCTTGCTTTACATCTTTTTTACTTGAAGTGTCCATGGCAGAGCCACCACAGGCATCAAATATTTTGTTCTTTSTGTGGTCTTCTTCAGACAAGGTCARTTTATCAAGCAGAGCAGGTAAAGGCTCTGCAGTCTCAAGTTTTGAACCAATCTCAGGTTCTCTTTGAGCATCTGGTTTATTCCTATCCTCGTTTGGGAATTCACTACCAGAGTTTGTAGAAATCTGGGTTGTCCTTTTGTTGGATTCAACCTCAGCAGAAGCCTCCCTTGCAACAGGGAAGCAAAGATGTTCAGAGTGTGAAGAATCGTCCACACAGCTGGTGTAATGGTCGCTCTCACAGCTACTGTATTTACTGCTACCAGTCCCACTGCTGCTGCTGGCAACAGGCTCCTGGTCATTTTGTCCATCCAGCTCATCATCACTCACACCAAGAGTACAGTGACTGACAACAGTTTTCTCCAAGTCCTGCTCTGTGCTCTCACTGTTCTCTCTGCAGTAAACAAAAACRTGATCCGGCGACGTGACGTCAATGCTCTGCTTGGGTAAAACAGTGGCCATGCGTTCTAGATCAAGAAAGTCAGAGTACTCAGAAAAGTCAAACGGTAAAGTGCTGACAAATGGRCTTCCCTCACCACCAGTATTTTTGTTGGAGGATTCGGGACTGAAAACAGGGACATATTCATCTATATCCCTGAAGCTTACACTCTTTCGATTTGTTCTTCGCCTGCAGGAAAACTCTGGAAGTGTGTCTGTTTTGGAGGGAGAAATTTTGCCATTAGCTGCAGCAGCATTTTCATTTCCTTTTGTTGCTAACATCCCTTCAATACATAACGGGTCCTCCTTAAGAACGGACATTGTCACTGCAGGTCCCACCGCAGACAGGCGAGTGCTGGAAAGCATAGAAGTACCATGGACCATGTTAATATTCGATAATCCTCTGCAACTTGGTCTTCCGTTGATGTTYGACAGGTTGAAAAGAGMTGAGAGCCTTGTGCTGCTCAGTGGAGCGTCRCCAAAATCACTTATCCTGGACGAAAGGGAACTGAAACTGTGATTGGATTCAGGATAGCTGGAGAGGTCAGTCTGGTCAGAGTACACAGCTGTAAAGAAAATGAGAAAAAGGTTTACGATTTAACCTAAATCACATGGTGGTGAAACATAAARCAGACAAAATCCCTCAATATGCAGCTCTAACCTGTATGATCTATTACTATAGTATTTTGTTGAAGAGGTCATGCTTTTAGTTATCTAACATGTTAAATAGAGACGTATTTTAGTATGTAATATTTTTTATTGCTATTTCATTAAATCAATCTATCCAAAATCAAGATTAGACTAGATTAGATTAGATTAGATTAGATTAGATTAGCTTTATTGTCATTCAAACATATTAGAGATGCAATGAAGAACGAGATGCAGTTAAGAACACCCATTCAAGAAAAACACACGACAAAACATTGGGGAACAGGTGAACAGGTATTACGCAACAGGGTAGCGCTACCTTTTGCAGCTTGAAAATACACAATAGGAGAAGATGAGTTAAAAAAAGTTAATTAAAAAAGTTTGTCAAAAATGCTAATTTTTGGCTTAAGTAGAGATAAACGTTATAAAAACAACATCTTACCGTACTGGAACTGAGGCAGGTCCTCCTCCTCTGCGTCAGATGAACTAGCCTGGTAATGCTGAAGGAGTTGGGCACATTTTTGGTTTTCCTGTTGCTCTGCAAGCTGCATAGGAGTGTTCCCTTCCTGCATGAACAAACACATGACAAGGGTAACAGAAAGCACACGGCATCTGGGTCGCCGGTTCAACTCCCCGAACCAACCAGCCCCACTTTGGGCCCTGCTCCCTCAGCTGCTCCCTGGGTGCTGTAATTGGCAGCCACATGTGCGATGGGTAAAATGCAGAGATTTAATTTCCCACCAGGGGATCAATAATGTGGATAAAATAAATAAATAAAAATCTAAGCGACGGGTATAACTGAGATGCTCAAAATTCAGGAAAAACAGCACAGGTTATAAAAACAACTTGAACATTTAAATTTAATTTTAAATTTACTTGTGATGTCTTTCTTAGCTCTCTAATATTTTTTTCTGGTTCATGCAAAACCTTTAAAAGACTTGAAATGAGAATTTACATTATCTTTAATATTTGGGTTCCCTCCATTAATTAAGAGCAACTTGAGATTTTGATAACATCCCCACAGTGCTGCAACATGAAGAGGAGTCAGGCCTTCAGATGACCTGGAAGAAATGCAACATTAAGCAATCAGAATTAACTGCTCCATAAATAATGCAAAACAAGCATAAAACCTGATYAGGAAAGTGTTCATCAGTGCTCATTAAAATACCTGACGTTGGGGTCTGCTCCATGCTGTAGTAGCAGTTTTAAGCAGCGGATGTTCTTCTCAGTTTCTTTACCGACCGCCAAGTGGATCGCAGCCACGCCTTTGGTTCCTACCAGGTCGGGACTTGCACCTTTTGCAAGGAGCAACTGCACAGATCTGCCAAAAAAAAGTGTATGTTCATTTCTATAACAGACACTTCTGTACATAAGATAATGATCAAATGACGRCCAACAAAATGTGACAATCAGACTAAAAAGATCTAACTTTTTATTCAAGAGTTTTGCATAATTACAAAAATGCAGTGGTTATTCAGGCTAACGGGATTTAGTTGATAAGTGATCAGAAATAAAACTTCAAATTTATTCCTTTTTCTTTTAGAAAAATGTACAAATTGCTGTCCTACTCGTCAATGTTGTTTAACACAAACAAAAACAGAAACTAAACAATGTCCTCAACTAAATAAATCAGTATTATAGGCTTTGTCATTTGTCATTTACTTTACAGCTATTACACGTGTAATATGTGATTATAATTGTTAACGCATGATAAACGAATGAGGATGTAATTCATAATAACAAATTATTCACACGGCTCAACATATAAATTTTGCATGATGACTGCAGTTTTGTATACAAAATTGCTGTTTAGTGAAACCACTTGATTTGTTTTGATCATGCTTACAATTCAGAAGATTAAACCTTTAACAATTATATATATATATATATATATATAAACATTGTGACTAATAACATATGTCCACCATAGCTGCACGAACACGTTGACACCATACTTGTATCCTCCTCAGCGAAGATCGTATCGTGATCACATTTATTTATAATTATGCGTCAAAGGGCCTCAGAAGCAACAAATATTAAAAACGGCTTTATTATGAATGAAAAATGAAGTGTTATGCCTCAGGTTCGTATCAGTGTTATAGCGCKAACAAAACAAACATCAGAGCAGTGTTTTTGTTTTCATGCTGCACGTCAGAGCTAAACAAAGAGGAAAAGGCTTGATCAGTACCTGGGCTCTCCATCTTTCACTGCGGCACATAACTGACTGGACAGCCTTCTATTGTTGCGATCCATGACCCGCGAGATTTGTTTAAAGCCACCCTAAACTGTGAGCAGCATATTCCAGTTTACGTCCTCAGAGAATCAATAACTTCACATCGAGGTTAGCTTACGGAGCTACGCGAGTGTTGACTTTTCCGCTGCATCATGTGCCTTGTTCATACATCTAGCTGATAATATATTTATGTAAACTGTTAATATGCTAACTGAATATTTCATTGAGGTTTAGGCTTTAAAAAAGTTTAAAGTTTATCGATAAGTCTGATTACGCTGTTTTGTTATTGTTAAACTTCCCTCCAAGTCACGACGGCACGCAAGCAAACGGAAGACCCGCCTATGGACAATTCTGATTGGACAACTATTCACGGACTGGATGCTCTGATTGGACAATTGTTCACAGATCATGTGCTCTGATTGGACAACAGTTGACCAGACAGAAGAGGCCTTGTTCAAAATAAAAATTTCATTTCCCAATCAATTTGTTTTATGACCACATCCTTTTAGCGATTGGGTGAAGTAAAGCAGTTTTTACTTTTACTTACTTACTTACTTACTTACTTACTTACTTACTTACTTACTTACTTACTTACTTACTTACTTACTTACTTACTTACTTACTTACNTTACTTACTTACTTACTTACTTACTTACTTACTTACTTACTTACTTACTTACTTACTTACTTACTTACTTACTTACTTACTTACTTACTTACCCTTTTCTCTTTGATATATGCCGACAATCTACTTAAATTGTGTAAATGTAGCTGTTTATTTGCAGAGCAACAACACATTTTCTGCATTTATCTTTGTGCACTTTTGTGGAGGTGTGTGCCTGTTCCATCTGTACAGAAGATGCTTTTACGGCCACAGGGGGGGGAAATCTCCCTAAATTCTGAGTTTAGGAGAATTTTTTTATTTTTTGTATGTGTGGCCCTAGTTTGTGCTCATGTAGTGCATTTAGGATAAATTGATAATTCATAAGTTTATTAAAAATGCTTCAAAATAATCACAGCCTTGTGTTTTGGACAGTTTAATAGTGTTAAATATCATGATGCAACTTGCACAAATAAAATGTACTTGGAACGGTGGTATCAGACTTGTGCATAAACAGTAATACTTAAATTCTTTACAAAACCTTTAGGAATAATTTATGTTTCACTCTTTAGGAATAATTCTTCAATAATTCCGTCACACTGTACGAAATTTCAACCAAAAATGAGAGATTGGGCAGATAATCCAACATTTGATCAAATACTGGGACTGTAATCTCAGGCAGAGAGGGTGATGAAGAGGCCCATTAGAAGGAGGAGCAGACTGGGGTAAAAAGCTCCAGCATGGCCAGGTAGATTGCAGTTTTCATAGGGTTCGATGCAGGCAGCAAAAGCCATGACGTGTGCAATGTAGCTCTGTTCCTGAACTCCGTGAAAAAGGTGGGACATTGGTCCTTTGGCAAAGATAGCCACATCCTCTATACCATGGGTTTCTGAGTCGAGGGGGACAGGAGCCTGCTGGCGGTACTTTTTTGTTGCTGTTGAAAAAATGTGATAGAGGGACATTAGATTTTTCTGAGATTTCTTGCAGACAAGCAATACATTAAAATCAACAGCACGTGTGGGAAGAAATGTGACTTCTTTTAGGTCAGTGTTTCTTAAAATCATACATTTCTCTTAGAATTATGCCTATAAAATGTGAGAGCCTTTGTGTTCCTTTATGACCCCACTTCTGGTTGGTGTATAAGTATCTTGTTAGGCCGTTAGATGGTGCTGTTACATTATGACTTTCTTACAAAGATCTGTGTGCACATACATGAAATTGTTTCATTCACATCAGGACGGGTTCCATTGGCGATCTGATATCCTGGTCCATTTCCATACACAGCAGTGGTAAAGTGCTTCTTGTCATCCGCCAATCCACGAGACACCCCTAAGAATCACAGGACACAGTGTTCAGGTCAAAAATCTCATGACACTAAATGACTTTCTTTTACACATATCCTCTGCAGTGAGCTAATATTTTCTGTTTTTTCCTTTTTTAATTCGTGTTTTACCAAAAACAGGGTTTCCTCTGGCAGAATGCCCTCCGAAAGCAAAGACATGAGAGTGGTCAGCGGTGACAACAGACAGAGTGTCCAGTTCACTGGTGAGTTCGGCCGCTCGCCCAATTGCATTGTCAAACTCAACAGCTTCATGCAGAGCCATTTTGGCTCTCCCATCATGGTGACCATGATCAATCCTCCCCCTTAAAGTCCAACAAACAGAAACACATAAACTTCAAAAGAAGCATTTTCAGAAAATAGCTTATTTGTTGTGGAGGGAAAAAATGCTGGTTCTTTTGGCAAAACACCAAAAATTGTAACATAAAATTGATGTTTAAAGTGGTGCTGTGGATTTATATCAGGGGCTCTGCAAACTTTACAGTCATAAGAGACATTTCCTCCCCTTGGCTTACTCATAAATTGTGTCTGGAGCCACAAAACATGCTGCAACTGTGATTATCAGCTGGTGGCTGGTGGGCCACTTTGRGTTCATTGAAGGGGAGATTTTCCGGCCAGTGGGGTTGACCATTATAAATCCAAAAATATATAGTGAATTTTAACATTTATAATTATTTTTGCACTTTAGGATAAAATAAAAGACCATATTCATGTAAAGAAAATAGAAAAAAAACCATGTGACCACTTGTGTTTTAACCATCTTGATGAAGGTTTACATTAGTTTTAATGATGCTCATGTTTTGTATAAAATGTGTGTGTGATTTTCTTGTGCGATTTGTATTGATTGTATTTTATTGTTATTTTATCTTGTTTCGTATAACTATTTTGTTTATGGCAAGTCCAGGGCCAACAGATGAAAATTATCCTGTGGCTAACTCTGGCACATTTACAGAAATGTTGATTAATGTGAAT